CCCCCACCCCTAACTAATACAATACAGTACTTTTTTAAAGCCACAACCTCACATACAAATCATACCAAACAAGTTTCATGCAAGTCCAGTTTCAGTCTGATGTGTGACAAAGTACACGCTGGCTCGTTAAAACTGATAAATTAAATTTCTGACACAGTATAGAAAACATAGCTCACCTGGTATAGGGATGACTGGGATATTCTCATTGGCCACCACCCGTGGAGAGCTGCTCTCCTCCACATAAAAGTGAGCTGTCTGGAAAAATCTCCTGCAGGGACCCAGAGAGATAAGTATAGTGAATGTGGCACAGTAAACCCACCCACTATCAGCTCAAATGATGCAGCCAAGTGTATTGAGGGAGTCGTTAGCCGGTTGTTCTCAGATCCGGTCCGTCAACATCAGCATAGAAATGTTGAACAGAATGACAACAGCAGAAAACTCCTAATGAAAACCCCAGAGAAGTTAGGACACAGCTGATCGCACACAGAGTGAGTGGCTCCTGGAAACAGAGCCTTCGCTGACTATAGGGACCAGGTAAACAACTCACGGTGACACGCTGCAGCGCCGAGCCGAGTTTGGCTCTTTATGCAAACCGAAGACAACTAATCCAAACACATTTTCTCTTCTCAGGGCCTCTTTCAAGGGACTTTGAGGACAAGGAAATCAACTTCAAGATACATTTTCTGGAGTAAATACTCATTGTTGGCAGCAGCTGCTGCTTCTGCTGCTGCTCAAAAAGCTTTTTCAAAAAGCCTGGATCTTTGCAAATACTGCCAGGACAATTCAATCAAAATTTTTATACAGCCTGAAGTTCAAAGTTCACAGAGTGACAAACTGCAAGCAGCCATGCTCATTCGTAAGCATTGAGGTTATTTATCTGGTGATATTAAAACAGATTTGTAAAAAGGTCAGCTGTGCATTAAAAATAATCAGCAGCTCTAGCGTGACTGACAACAACCAGTGAGGAACCGGAACACCTGGTATACCGACTCGCATGCAATCTGTCCTATAAGACCCACGTTTCATCCCAGTGCTAACATACCCCAGCTTTAACCCTACCTGTACGCCATGCAGAGGAGGGAGCAGATGCTAGTCATTCTTAGAGAGAGATGAAACCGAAACAAAAAGATCGAACTACATTTAAAAAGAAAATGCACAAAGAGAGGAGCCAAACAGAGACGGTGAGAGAGAGAGAGAGAATTGATAGAGAGAAAAGAGAGCGGGAGAGAGGAAAGGTGAAAACAAACGGGGGAGGAGCGCTCCCCCCGGTTTCAGTCGCAGCCTCCCGATCTAATGGCCTCCTTTGAGGGCAGATGTGGTCCTGCTAACTAATTTGCATCGTCCATGTCGTCTTCCTGACTCTCAGAAGAGCAGTTTGCATTAAGGCCAGTTTAACAGCTTTATTAATGAATTCCAATTAAGAAGAAAAAGAAAAGAAAGAAAAAAAAAAAAAGAGGTGGGACTGGGTTTGTTCTCGGTTTTATATCTGTCAGTTTTCAGCCAACACCTTGAGCCTCACAGGCTTCCAGATGGGCAACACCAGCAATTAACACCAGACTCATAACCTCAGATAAACCCAAACGGGGAAGATTTAATAGATAACTCACTGGCCATACATTTCTCCATAGACGCCTCTAAAAATCAAATGTATGGTGGAATTAAGTCAATATGATAATAAACAAAACATCTGGAACCAGAGAAACTCACGGGTCTAGCCTCTGTGTCACTAAGAGAGACCACGCAGAGGATGAAGAGTAAACGGCTTGATTTCATCTTTCACCGTAGCCTTTTCCCTAAGGGAAGCAGGCATTGTCTGTGAACTGTCTGAGCTGTCACAACAGCAGCTGCGATGGCCATTTCAAATCTCAAAGCTGCCCCTGCTTTTCTACTCAAACACCCAAACTCTCGCTAACCGAATCTGTACAGTCATCTTGCTTTCAGCTCTGGTTTTTTTACACCTCTGTGGAGCCAATAACCACGCTTGTAATTATATCTCACTGTTTTATTATCTGTCACAGCAAGGTGATATAAACATTTGCTGTAGCGATCAAATCAAAAAAACAAAAACAAAAAAACCATTTAAATGCATTTAACACATTTCAAATATTTATTTCTAAAGAGTCTATAAACAAATAAAATCCTTTACAAGTGAGGGCAGTAAATATACACAGGACCAGCTGAGGAAGTAGCCTACAGTGCCATTTGTTACTCATTAACCAGCCGACATGTGCTTGTGGCCTGGCCTGTGTAATTACTCAGGCTCCAATAGCACGGCTGGAAATTAGCCCAGCAGATGAAGACACAGCTGGGACCCATGCTGGCATTGCGGGGCCTTCAGGTCTCCTGCCCCTCACCCAGGTGGGTGATGGGCAAAATGTACAAAGTAAAGGGAAGAAAGCAGCATTAGTACCCTTGCTAAGCCCAAACCATGCTGAGGACACTTAAACGCAGGTGGGTTACTTAGTAGAAAACATGAACAGAGAAAAAAAAATGCATTCAAGAGGTCCAGTGTGAGTGAGGGGCAGCTGTATTTTTATTTTTATACCTCTAAAGGAGGAATCAGAGACATCATCATCCCCACACCCAGTAAAGATAAGGCTTTTTATTTTTAATAAAATGCTACAGCACTTCATCATAGCAATTTACTGTTCTAACAAACTAAGATGGAGCCCCGGGAATGAGGTTGTGAACTCTCTCTCACCTCCAGTAGACCATCACAATTAGCAGCATGATGAGGCACAGCAGAGTGAGAGCAGACACCACCACCAAGGGGACAATCCACACCATCCTGCCCATCCCCGGGTGAGGTGGCGGCATCCCATTGGACATGGTGGTTCTGTCTGAAAGACGAAACAAACACATGTTAAATGTCTAAATATGTAGTACAGACTTATACAGTTCCATCTGTGCTCTTATAAAGTGACTCCGTGAATATATTTAAAGGCTATTCTGATGTTTTGTTTGTAGATAAAATGGAAATCTTGGAAGAGAGTAGGGTTAGTGTTTGCGTTGCCGTTTTCTCTTCAGTTAAACGCTGGGACACTATGCTAGGCTTTTCTCCATTAAATCTATAATGTTCGCAAAATAAATTGTTTCCTAAAATTAAACGCCTAGACAGAAGTCATTATAGAAAAAAACAAAAACAAACACAAACACAAATCAAGGAGAGAACAAACACATTTTACAAGAGCTCAAGATTAACTCTAATTAGATGATTAAAACAATGTGATTGGGTTGGTTGATCAGATTCAAAAGAAAACCGCAGTGTTGTTTGTTTATATTGTTATTGATAATCACTAATGCCAACTGCCTTTTTACGTTTTTCAGTGCCACTTCAAGTATTTTCATGGTTTGTTGAGGGGGAAATAAGACAAAAAAAAAAAAAAAAGAGGCAAAGGCATCTACATAAATGCTCTCCCTTGAAACAAACTCTTTTAAAACATGCTTAAAGGAATTCCTTGAGGCGCAGTCCCCCTGGCAGACAGCCTACTTCTTCCTTCAGGTCTCTGTGTTGTAGTGACACAAACGCCTGGGGCTCCGTCTTTGACCGAGATGGTAACCAGTGTAGTTAGCGTCTTATATCAAGTTATTTGTTCTGCTAAACTGGTCTCTGTAAGTGCTTGTGGTGTTTACAGAACTGTGCTTTGGAAAGAAGTCTTGCCTGGCACAACAGCCGACAACAAGGGAAAAAAGGCTTAACAAGAGTTCAAAAGATTTTTCAGTATGAGGAGGAAAAAAAAGAAATAAAAAATAACACAGGAATCGAAAGGTCCTGCTCACCAGTGTGGACAGAGAAAGGCCAGCTGTTTGCATTTTCGTTTTCAGTGGGGATCTTTGTAGGTAAATTCTTGGGAATTTGCGTCTTTACGCTGCTATTACGCGGCTCCTGAGTGGACACTGGGTTTACACCTGTAGGGTCGCTCTCCACGTCTTCACCAGTGCTCGGAGGTACTGTGGTGCCTTTAACTGTAGGTTTCCCTTCTCCTTTCTCTTTGGCTGTGGATGCGGGGGTGGGGATTAAAGGTTTTTTGGCCAGAGTGCTGTTTGCTTGTTTCTCTCCATTATCAGTTCCAGTCTTTTCCTTCTTCTTCTTCTGCTCTTCCTCCTCCTCCTTCTCCCCATCTTTCTCGCCTTCCTCCCCCTCCTCTTCACCCTCGTGCGGAGCATTATTCTCCTCAGACGCGTTGTCTGTCTCGGAGCCCTGAGGTGGCGTCTGCTCGTTGTTGGACTTTGCAGGCGCGGTGGATGGACGTGTGGGGTTGTGAGTGGCTTGAGGCGCCTGCGTGGGCCAAACAGAGCTGGGCATGGAGGAGATGACCCCTCCGCCGACACCCAAGCCTGCCAGCAAGGTGCTCGTCACTACCGATGCCACCGTGGCCTGGCTGCCACTAGAAGAGGGGCCCATCCCTGTTGCCATGGAGACAATGGAGAAGTGGATACCAGAGGACGTCCACGTGGAGGAACCAGAACTGATTGGAGCCATGTCTGCTGAGGACGCAGGAGAAACTGTGGGCTGAGGGAGATGGGCAGAGAGGGGGGGGAAAATGGTTACCCAACAGAATATGACATGAACGTCACTGAGATGCAAAAAGAAATGTGCACTGCCATCTTCTGGTCAACTAACCATCCCAGTCTTCACAATTCGAGATCCTTCAAAAATTCTTGTTGTATTAGCTGTGAAACAAAAGAGGGAGGGACATAAAATATTTATATATCCATCTATTAGTGCATTTGAAGAAAGAACAAAGGCCTTAGAGTACACCTGCTGTGACCACATACCTCTGAACAACAGTGTTTGGCTAAAATCACTGCGCAGATCATGTTGACACACTGCCTGCACTCTGAACAGGTACAGGATGTCAGGAGAAACGTTAGTGATGACTGCTTTCTGTAAGAGAAAACACACATAAAATACTGTCAATTCTAACTGAATTTGCATTGTAATAGATGAACACATTTGAAAAGGCAAATGCTAATAATTCAAATAGCCTCCAATGAACGCGTTCCATTTTAAACTACTGCTTGGCCAATAGTCTGTGGCCCACAACTTCCAAGCTGTTTAGAAAGGTTATTTTCTGTTTAATTTAATTGTGTTTTTGCAGGTTGCAGATGGCTTAACTTGTATTCAAAGTGCCCTCAGAATAGGTGGGTGATTGCCTCTGGTGTTGCAGAGCCAGTATTTCTCCAAAATAATTCAGATAAAGGTGTCCAGAGATAGAAACTGAAAATTGAAATGGAAATGAAGTGAGCAAAATAAGGACTTTAGTGCAGAGAGGGAGAAGTGGACAGAATAATGCGAGAAAAAGAGGCTGATCGACTGTATTAATGGAGTGTAACTGCACGGACAGAGCACCACGCGGACACTATAATCACTCTCTCAGTCAGCCATTTGAAATCAAAGCACAATGCAAATTTACAGGTCTCCCACTTCACCACGACAAATAAATCATGTTATTACATTAATGCATTCCACGCAAAATAGTCACTTAGCCTCACGAGCCCAACATGGTTCACCAGTCACATCATGGGTAATACATCTTCCGTAACAAAGTTTAGATGACACTTGATATCTAAGTAAGCGTTTTCACAGTGCAGCAGCCTTTATGGAGAACGCGCTGCTCTTTTGTGGCCACAAAGTAGAGAAAATGAAGACTGTAGAGATATAAGAAGAACATCAGGGTGCAGTAATCATTAACAGAGAGCTAAAAAAAGATGCCAAAATTCACAAATAATGAGAGAAAGCTATGGGTAACATCAGGTATAACCATTGTTGCTGCAAGTGAGATGTGAACTTCTGTCCACAATGAGCATCAATAATTCAACAAAGGGAATAATATTAACTTATGGTATGTTTTCTGATGAGAATAGTTTATTTTGTGGAGGAGTTGTTGACTGCTAGAAGCCTGGTTGCATATTGATTTCAGCCACTTGTCCATCATTTTCTAAGCTTCAGTAGCTACATTCGAAGCTCAAGTTCTCCTGCAGGCATGTTTTAGGAAACACAGTATTAAAGATAAGCTGCACAGAATAATAATTTGTGTCTGAAGTGTTTTTACCCTCACAAAGTAGTTCAATTACCTGGTTTAAAATTCTTAAAATTACATCTCCTCCTCCTTTCTCCCAGAATCTATGAATATGCAAATCATTGTTCATTGTGTAACTGCTGAACACAACGCGTCTCCTTATTCACAGAGTGTGTGCGCGCACCGGAGGCATCGAACTCGTGCAAGTTCCACGCTGCAAAATTTGCTTCTAAACTAGTCATAATGTCATGAAATCATCCTGTAGAACGATTGTTTAAAAAAAAAATTTCAGTGCCAGACTCTGCAATTGGATCCTTCTGCACAGTGAAGGTTAAACATCAAAGTGAGGCAAACACGCTTGAGTGAAGGGGGTTATTACCTTAAAGGATTAGCCAGCTCTTGCCTTCAGATCTCACCCCTTCTGTGCAGTTACCCACACCAAATAGGAGTCGCTAGTGCAGCAACATTACAAGATCCCTCACGAGCTTCCAGCCCATGACAACTGTGTTTATTGGAATGCGCCAAGCTGGAGGTAGCATTGCCACCAGGGAACTGATCCCAGGTCTCTGAACTGGTGAGATGAGATTTTTCTCCTCTGCACTGTTTATATCAAAAAGCCAGTCATGCAGACTATAAAAACAGCTGGGGGTCAGTGGGCTTTAAAGAGATGCACAGCTGGGTGTTGGATTTCCACAAATGCAAAAATATGTGACCAGAGAGACGAATATATAGAGTGAAAAAGAACAGCCCTGTAGGTGCAACCTCCTGCAGAGGGAGGATATATCTGTGGACACTACTGAATATTCTGCTGAAAAGCTACAGTAAGAACCGAAGTGTGCTAACTCACTGTTTAAGGCAGCGAGATGAATTATATGATCAGTGGAGCAAAGATCTAAAAAGGGTACATTTGCTCTGCATATGTTACTAACAGAAGTTTCTGTTGAAAGAGCTGCTTGTACTGCCTGAAAACTGAAGATTTTTTTAAATGATTGCTTTTTAAATTGGGAAAATAAAAGCGAATATATTATTTTGTTTACGCCGTCTCGGTCTGTATGCGTTTTTTTTTTGTTGTTCACCCTGTAATAGAGGTGCCTACTTCTGAGGCTGATTCAAACCTAAATGCAAATAAACAGAGGGGTAAATGCTACACCTGGATAAAGGCCACAGCTGCAATTTTGAACACATTATATATACAGTATCTCAGTGTGACACGTCAAAGTTTGTGACGGGCCTGTGCTTCTATTCTTAGACAGGTGAGTGACAGCAGAGTGTCTGGGCCCTCATATCAGCCAACAGCCACATGCAGAGTTCATCATAACCTGTCACCTCCAATACACACCGTCACTGATCTGGCCAACCTCTGATCCTGACAGATACATCTGAGGCTCTGCACACCAATCGGAGCTGTTTATGCAACATTTATTGCAAAAGAAATAAATAAAAAGCTTTTAAACAGCCACGCTCACCATGCTCTGATCCCCCGTCTTGGTGAAGGTCTTTTCATCAGCGACATCACGTTTCACCCAGCTGTAGGAGACCATGTAACTGGTGATAGGTGGGTGGTAGACTGTCAGAGGGCGTTCCCAGCTCACCATCAATGCCGTCTGGTTTAGCGGCTGGATCTTCATGCTCACTGGGGCACTGCTGCACACTAAAAAGACCAGAGAGAAAAAAAAAGAAGGATATGAGAACAAGGCAGCATGAAAAGAAAGAAAAGGGGAGGAGGGGGACAAAAAAAAGATTGACAAGGAAGTAAACAGTGGTGTCACTTTTTCACTGACTGAATACAGCTCGGTGAAGATGGAAGACTGTGATTGGGATGACTGCTTGACCACATGTGTTTTTGTCTGTCCGACATGTGTGGGTAGAATGAAGGTTGCCTTTTAACAGGCTTATTACAAAATCCCGCTCGCTTTGACTCAAAGCCATTTCCACTTGAGAAACACCCAGAAGTGCACAAAGCTAAAGTAACTCAATAACAAAAATACTCCTGAAGGCTTCAGTTGGGTCACGCACAACCTCCGGCGTGTGCAGATTGTCAATCTGGACACATTGTGCCTTTTTCATGCCAAAAAAAGAAGAAGAAGAAAAAAAGCGCAGGCAAAATATAAAAGAACCAAGCGCCACGTGGCGGGCATGTGGTACAGATTATCTAGCAGCAACATGCCCATACCCAATTTGTCAGATTAAACACTACGCACAAAGGAGACAAAAGATAATCTGTAAATCGTCCTCAAGGTGGCAGTGCAGGCTGCAGCAAGGATATTTACACAGGGCTCCATCAGTATGGGTAAGGGACAATCTGGACATGCTTCTCAGCAGATCAGGGCAACAGCAATCAGGAAATAGTGTCAAATGATTATGTGCTCTCAGAGTTTCTGCCAAATTGAAATTGTCACCACAGTTTTTTCCATTTGCACACTGAAGCTATGACACAAATTATGCACCACGATATGTGAAAGGGAGAAAAGGGAGACAGGGTGGAAAGAAATCAGTCAAGAGAACACGGGGGGAAAAAACAAAAGGAAGAAAATCTCGGGGTGTTGATTAGATGTGACAGGTGCGAAATGTATTATAAACCTGTCGGATGTGTGTTGTCAACCTCAACAATGATAATTTAATAGCAACTGAAGATGTCACTGCGGTTTTACTGCCTGCATCACTTCTGTCATGGCAATCATCATCCTTTTAACAATCAGCACGCACTTATTAGTAACCATCTCAGCTTCTCCCGTTCCGCATATTGCAAAGAAAACTAAAAAAAAAAAAAAAAAAAGCGATCCTTCTCCTAAAAATGTGTCATCTGAGCAACCTTTTCTTAAATGTGGTCAAGTTATGAGCAAACGCAGCGACCAGGCACTGATTTCAAACTTAGATGTGCACGTGTTCGTTTTATGAAAGCTGCACTTGGTAAAAACCGGCGCAGAGCAGGATCGAGTGGAAACAAAACCTTAAGCTGACAATAAAATGTACATACTGTTTTAAAAGTGGAGGAATTCTTTTAAACGCTGTAACCTTCAAAATTCGTGTTTCATAGAGGTTCCACCTCGGTCTACAACACCACTCAGCACAGAGCATGAATCTTTCTCCCGGCACTGTCTACCGAGCGGTGATGAATCGACGGTTGTCAACAAACAGCAGTTCCAAAGCGTCTCACTTCTAAAGCCTTTACAGTACTTTTTTTAAAAGAAGCTGTTTGCAGCGTTGAATGATCGAGGAGACAAGGATTTTACTCTAAACACAATGGGGGGAGGGGGGACAAAACTATTCATTGTGAACTCTGCAGGCAAGCTGAGTAATGCGAGTAATCTCAATCACCAAAAACCAACGCAGTAAATACAATAATCATTTAACGGTGATGCTCACCATCTATAGCTTTAACCATAATCTTAACGCCTACTGATTTTTTTTAAGACTAATGCTCCTTTAATTAAAATGAAAGGCTGACTGGGTGAAAACCGAGTAACTGCCTACTGTTGGAGTAAAATGCCAAACATTCTTCGGTTATAATTGTTCCGGAACAAGGACATGGCAGCCTTTCTCCACTTTATATCTTTATACATTCATTACTTTTCAGTTCTGTGCTGTAAGTGACAACACAAGAAAGTTTAAAGCATCGTTGTGGGTTCTTGGAAACTGTCGCTGTCATTTTCTACAGTTTCGAAACATATTATCGCCAGTTCCCTAACCTGAGAATATAATGAACACAGCAATCTGATAAGACATATAAAAAGCATTTTCACCATTGTCTCAATTAATTAAATTTTAAATGGAGGGTATGGCTTTGGCAGAGCTGGGTTTTTTTTTTTTTTTGGTTTTTTTTACACATGCAAAGACACACCAAAGATAAAATAAATAGTGCCCTATACATCTTGGCATTATTACTGGACAAACAATGACAGTGCACCACCACAAACTAATCTGCAATCTCTATTTTGCATCTGAAAGGTTAGCTCTGCATTTGTAATGGCCAAACAAATTCCATTGCCATAAAAGCCACAGCGGTGGAGCATTCAGTGAAGGCGCGGCCCTGGCTCTCATACGCCATTTACAAGCAAAGCCATCATTTATTGTGTGCGGACAAACAGCCCCCGTTGCACAACCTTGACAGATGTCATCCTTGCAGATGAGATTGACAGTGTTTAAACCTCCAATCGCCTATACATTCTTACACAAAAATATTCTTTGATAAAAATGCAGATTAGATTTTGCAAAACAGAAAATAAATAAATAAATAAATAAAAAGACATGGGAGGGGTAAACAAAAAATTAAAAGACACTGGTTCCCATTCATTCTGCCTACTGACATAATGCCACAAAAGCAATTTCACAACTTAATTTGTATGGGTCTATTTTAGCTGTACCACATATTAATGATGATTGCTGATCGGCCCCGTTAGAGTGCTCCAACTTCATCACAAGCATTCCCAATCAATTCTCCCTGCCAGACACCAACAACACCACTTTAAGGAGCAGCAGCCTTTCTCATTAGTCTCCATAGTTCCTGTACTGTTCGCTTAAAGCCAGCACGGCAAGATGCACACATAAAAGAGAAAGACAAACAAAGATACTCTGATCAAGCACTGCATGAGGTCCGTGCCTGGTATTAATATGTGCTTTGAAGAATCAGTTGTATCAGTGAGAGAATCAAATGTGCCAAGTTTTACCCAAAAAGCTCCTGAAATTGGAATTATTACATTAAACTACTGATTTCTCCTCTGTTCGGCTTATCTAACAAAATACGAGAAAAAAACAACAACAACAACAAAAAAAACCCACAATAAAATTGTCCCTTTACTGACAGACTGACTGTAGCCGAGCTCTATGATTGGTTCCCTATGGCTTCATAGTGTAGCGCTTTAGATATTTGACTAACAAACAAAAGATCACCAGTTTGATCCCGAGAGAAGAGACAAATCCTTTTGGGGTTGTGTAAGGAAGCGCATCCGGCATATGCCAAATCAGACATGCGGCGCTACGCGCTATGGCAACACCTTGTGCATAAAATAGCAGCTGAAAAATATTTATTTTTTCTCTGATTGGTTCCTGATCTCCCAGGATTCATGTTCTCTAAATTCTAATGATGCTAATGTTAGCCTGATTAGCTAGTTAGATACAGCAAATAAAATCTGCCTCTATAATTTCAGTTGGCAAAAATCAACACTTGCCAGCTAACAAACTCTTTTATCCGTTAGAATCTAGGAACAAAATCCAAACAATGCATAAACTAATTTAAATAAAGCACTTTATTCCTATTAGTTATTTTATTTACGTGTATGCACCAAGTCTGCTGCCCTCTTTGCACATTTCATTTAATAATATCGATCAGTATAGACAGTTTCACACACGCCCAGGCACACAGGATTGTTAGACTTTAAGTCGAAATCATTATGTAGCTGGGCGGCTATTTCAGTGATTTGGTAGTTTGTGACTTGGTTTCCAATGTGTGTGTGTGTGTACACACACACACACACACACACACACACACACACACACACACACACATATATGTATAAAAATTAGGGCCCATAATGCGTGAACGGACTCAGTTCTTAAAAATCTGAAAATTAAGTGTTTTTCATTAGCATGTTAACATTTACTGAGCCAATCAAGTATAAAATTAACAGGTTTAGATTAATGCCCACTTATCTTGCCAGTATATATTTAGGTAAAGACTGTTTAAACACTCATCTCCCATTAAAAAAAAAGCATAAAAACCCATCATCATATTTAAAACCCTGATGGAAGTCCTTATATTTAGTTTGCCCTTTCTAAGCATTTTCCTGCTTTTCAGTTTTTTTACTTGTATGACTTGTAAGACTGTTTCTATCACAGATCATTGTCCATGCAACATTGGCTTAATGCCAACACTATTCAGCACAGTGTGCATTTATAACATTAATCCACGCTGCAATATTAGCTACCAATTCAAGCAACTATTCACCGCTGAAAAAGTAAGTAATAATTGTAATTATGGGAGCTCCGTGGATTAAGCAAATCCTTTTATAGTAGTGCTGCAGCTGAGAAAAATCTAAAAATCATAGAGAAAACAAAGCTTACCTTTTGAAGCCTCGGTGCTATGAGGACTTCCCAGGATCTCGGTCAAATCCCTCTGCCATGCATTTTCTACAGCCGACTTAAAAATTTTGCGATTGCCCAGGTCCTGCAGGGGCCTGAAGTTGTTCCTCAGGTACTCGACAGACTTGACGTGGTCCTGTTGCTCTGTTGTAAAGATGGAGTAGAAAGCCTCCAGCTGGATAGAAAGAAACAAAGAATAGCTATTGAGGCAAATTCAAGCGCTATTGTTCATATGTATACGCGTCTGTCCACGCGCTTTCAATATATCATGCAGAACTGCATTTGTAGCTGCATGCCAGTAGCTGACTCTTCACAACTGGAGTACAGCATTTGCAAGTAACATTCACACCACAGGCACCAGTAGGCACAGACTTCAATCATCACTCTGGGCTGCATGCTGGGCTGTAACTTCTCAATGGGGCAAATTTGTGGCCATTGATTGCCATGAATGATCTCCTGCAGTGTGCTGTAATGACTACACATTACAGATACTGTGGAATCAATGTGTCCTATGCGTGCTTGGAGAAATGAATTACAGGTTCATAAAAGACTATCTGTGAGCGTCACAAACATTGTAAAGGTGGGTCAATATTCTTGCAGGAGAAGTCATTTCTGAACAAAAGATTTGTCCTCTTGCAAGATGATAGAAATTCCACTGAGCCTTGCAAATTTCTACAGCACAGAATTCTCTAGAGGATATGCAGCTGGGTAACCTAAGAATTGTTTGTATAAAAGATGCAGCAAAGGACTGTGTATGGGATCAGCAGAAAGCACTGGGCATGGCTTGGCATATATTATCTCTCAAATCAAAACAGCAAAAACCGTGGGAGGCAAGATGCTGTAAAGCACATAAATGAATAGTTTAAAGGCATTTTTTTCATTACACGTGTCAAACTTTTACTTCAGGTAAATGAGAATTTAAATTGATGAACCTGAACAACTTTAATAATATGATAGCCAGCTTCCACACAGAGCAGTATTCCATTTAGGAGTCTTTAGTCAATGTCTCACACTAACAGCACAATATATGCATAGGTGCTATCTCACACTTACTATCATTCAAATGCCAGTAATTGGCTCTCCCTTCCTGCTTAATCATCCACTATATAGGCAGTGATGGTTTCATATGCAGAGGAGTTGGAGAGGAACGAAGGAAAGGGGAAGAAGGAGGGGGGGCAGATGAGGGGAAAAATTGCTTGTGCACTGACACCGTGGGACAGCAAGCGATCCACTGACTGTGCGCAAATGGGATCTGACTGTGCGTGGAGAATAGAGCTGTATGGACAAGTGTGTGTGTGTGTGCGTGCGCGTATGTGAACTTGACGCACCTGTGAGTGGGACAGATACACAGGCCTGGAGAAGATGATCCACTCCACTACCTTGCTGCAGGGCGGAGTGGTCAGAGAGCCGGTGTATCTGTAATAACTGTCCACCGACGATGGCAGCAGATCCCTCAAGACGAACGACCTGAGGTAGGTCTCCTTTTCTGTGTAAAGAGATCAAAACCTGTCAATACACAGCGCTGTAAAGCATATCGCCCGGCGCACTAAAACCCTTAATGTGTCAAGTTACAATTACACCAACATTAACAAGGTTGCTTCATTTCATTCCCGGTGTGGCATAATTACTGCTTTCCTGAAACCTCCACGAGTGGAATGGCAGTAGTTAAAAGCATCACCACTTGTTATCACTCTGGCCAGATCTCTGTACTCAGATGGACTGAGAGAAGAGCAAAGGGAGAGGGAGTGTGATAAAATGGCCAGCTCTGACAGCTGATCTGTGGCTGGGTGGTAGCGTGCTCTGCTCTGTGCAGCAACTGTGGCATGGGCCATGGGAATTACGACAGATCATAATGATTGCTGGATCTCTTCAGTCCTCTGATCAGAATCAGGTAAAGCTGTGCAGAAAAACAAACACTCAACAACAACAACAAAAAAAAAAAAAAGCAGAAGGATCTTTTAGAGGAAAATTCCTATATGTCCTGTGAATATGCAAAGTGGATTATGCCAGTGGGTTTGATTGTTTTTTCTCCTTGAATTATGATGACAAATATCAATATAAAGCCAAACTTAATTCAGATATAATCTCTCGTAGCTCATGGGTTTAGGGTGTGGTTTATATTCAGGCTGATGAGGTACGGGAAGCCTCGCCCCTGATGCCTCATCTCTACTCTGACTGAAATTCAGCGCGCACAGCCTTTTCCTTTCTCCGTCTTCAGACAGTGTACGTGCCCTATCGCTCATGGGCCACCGAGATGTTGATGGATGGATGACTGCGGGATAACGAGCTAGTTGAAAAACCAAGCATCCTAACAGGGGAGAAGGCACGGAGGAAGACAGTCCAAAAACCACCACACCCACACCAGGCTCTCTTTCAGTCAGGAAATGAAATAATGTGGTGCAAGCATGGACATCTGTGCAGTCCAGGCACTTGGAGACTCAAAATAATCAAGTATATGCGACATGTTTGATAATCTGTCTTTATCGAGGTTATATAACAAAAGAAAAAGGGAGCTTAACTACATCTTTGGAAAATAACCACACGCACGCAATCCTGGTTTAAGGCTAATCAGAATATAGTTATTTAAAATTTGCCAAAACAAAGTGACCCCTTTCCTGGTTCTGAGGCCAAATTCCATGTGTTCCTGTAGCCTCCAGTGGTTTGCTCTGGTCAAATTTTTACCCTTATACATTTATCTTTAGCAAAAAGAAAACCGCTAATATTTTTTTCCCCTCCAACGTGAATGCCAAATGTCATAGCCTCGCTAGCCCACAATGCAAAACATCGAAACGCCTATCTCCAGAAAGTTGACGTTGTTGAATTATAATTAGAATCGATTCAGTGAAGCCCAGCGCTGGTCTTTCAAATCCAGCGTGAGTGAAGAGCAATTATGCTGCGCTTCTATATATCCTCATACTCTTACATGTCCTTGTCTGTTTACGATTATGGTCACAAAAAGACCGTCAGCTGCAGGCTGTAAAACAAGTCAAACGTGTCCATGTAAACAGAGCTGTTGTGCCCTCATCTGTAGTAAAGGATTACACACTCGTGATAAAACATATGCTTATAGACTGCATAAGCCATGAATCCCGTGACGCCGGCCCAGCAGCAGTAATTTAAAACAATATGCCATGAAGAATTGTGCCATAGCACAAAACACAAGACATTAATAGCTTAGATATGAATATAAGCCTATGCAGGAGCTGCAGTCCATGAGAGCTCATAGATTTACATTTGAGCCCGACTAAAACAAAGGGTTGTCTAATTAAGGCTGAGATGTAATTAATAGTTCTTTCTCTGTGAGTGAAGCTCCTTGGAGGTCTCCTACTGTGGAGCCACAGTAGCACGGCAGAGGCGGGATCTTACAAATTTTATCTCCTTTTGAAGTTAAACTCTGCTCATAGCTTGTGTTTAGACTCAATTGGAATTTTAAAAATAATAGTGCTTAAGCAGCTGAATGCAAGAGCGTTGACATTTTGTTCCTGGAGGAGGAACGGCACCGTATCTGCAATGGCAAAAGGATTTTACCTCTGCGGATAAATCAAAACATCTATTACGAAAACATCAGAGGGATTTTGTAAGGGTCAATTGCTTTTCGAAGATCCCATTAGAACTTTATTTCCCCAAATGTAATGTTTTATTGCGAGATTGAGAGATTATGGCATTAAAGGTAAAACTATATGAAATAAACAAATAAAAGCATCGCAGCTCAACAAAGAATGACGAGCACTCAACGGCATGAAAACTATTCTTCTACGGAAAGTAGAGCGTGTCGGGGGTTACGTGCCCGTTACCTACCATGATGCACTACTCCCTTCAATCCCTGGATGATGGGGTCCACAGCTGGGTTGTCTTTTTGTCCCAGCTGCAGGAAACATCCAGAGACAAAGGATTAGAAAAGGGATTAACAGACTTCTATAATAATCCAAATAAAATACCAAAAGACAATCGACATCAGCGGACTAAACTGCAGCACCAGAAGCCATCTTTTTCCATCCTGCTTCTTGTAATGGTTTTTGTTTTGGGGTTTGAGTGTTCTGGTTTACTTGGAAAATAACCACCAAAAATCTGAACCTATCATCACACAGTTTTAAAAATGTGTTACAAAATAACCTCGATGTTTATGTGCAGTACCCACTCGCCAACATAACCATAAACTACGTCTCCAATCCCTGCTCTGCCTTTAGAATGTTAACCTGCTTTTGATGCTTTGTTTGTTATAAAAGACGCTAAACATATCTGATCATTTCAAAGACTGCGTTCGCCTTTTTAGCTGTGATACTGTATGTACAGTACAACCTGCACCACTTTAAAAGACAGTCACATCTGCTGCAAACGTGATTTAAAGCAAACTAAATTAAATCTCAGCTACAAAACATGCTTTCAACAAAGTTTCATACGTCTGTTACTAAGGTTCTTCGGATTGAACTTTTCTAATTAAAAACTATTCGCAACACAGTACTGATAGAGTGACTTCACATCAAATGTCTTTGCTCATCCGATAGGATTTTCATTATGATGTAGATGCATGAAAATCATTTTCAATAGTGTACATTTTACAGATGAAGGCAGGGAGAATGAGCTCACGAGTGTGCTTCCTAATGCTACGAAACTCAATAGAACGAAATGGTGGCAAAAATGACTCAATATCTGTCTGCTGAGGCACAGGTTTGCCGAGGACTCGGTGCTTTTACAGTCGAGCCGCAGAGTATACGGATAAATTCTGTCTGAGAGAGCTGTCTCATCCATTTTCCCAAATGCCAAATATTTTTCCAAACAAATGCACATTTTTTGGTCTTTGCAGATCTACGGGTAGTATCCATGTGTGGCCTGTGACCTAGAATGTAGATCACACACAAAAGGGGGAAAATGGGAAGAAGAAAAAAAAAACTAGAGATGAACATCGTGATGTTCACTGAGCAACATTCAGGGAGACCCTTTCTGAAACTTTTTTCGATTTTTGAAAAATCCACATCTGATTTTCTTTTTTTTCCAGATGATTAAAAATGTTTTAATGACCAAAGCAGTCCTCCTCCTGTGCCATCTCCAGAGGACTGGTGATGATGCCTTCTTTATCTGTTGGGCTGGTAGTTCATTGTTTGAAATGACAAAAGATGAGCAATATTGCTCAGTCCAACGCTTTTAAATATTCCCAGCGTCCCACTTAAGAGACAAGACTGGACAAAAACAGTGTTGGGATGCGGGGACCAATAATACCTTGCTCGACATTAATTCAGGTCAGTCAGAGGAGAGTAATTGTTTGGAGCTGAATGCTGAATGTGGATAATATGCACACCTTAGAGGCCATTAATAGGCCTTTGGGGAGCAGAGGAAGAATACTTTTCATTGATTAGAAATAGTAAATCTGAGCCAGTGTGTGCATGCCCGCTTAAAAACCTTCACACTGTAAACTGTTTTTCCAACAAATTGTGTATGGTGGTGCTAATTGCAGTAAGCAATAGGGCTGTCAGGACCCAGCGGAGCCATTTAGGTCCTCGTGCACACACGGTTCATCATTGTCTAAGAGCAGACCTACATTGCAAACACCTGTGTCCCGATTCCAGCCTACCTCAGTCCAAGAACAGAACCTTTTCTATAAACTATTAAGGTGAAGGTTAGCAGATATTCATCAGCTGCCACCAACTGTAAAGTTGTTGCTAATAGAAATTAGTCTAACAGAGATAGAAACCGCGGAGTTCTCAGTGCTGCTGCTTAAATCTTGGAGGTGTTTGCACACCTAATAGAAATTAGGACCATTGTTGCCCATTAAGAGCTTACGTGCTCAGATCTTCAGGGGACAATTTGTAGTATCACAGCAAACAATCTGCTGTGTGCCACAGAACAAGAAATACAATCAGCAACCAGCCGGAGAGGAAATTTCCTATCGCAACGCAGGTGCCAAAGATCATTCTTAATAAATATTTATCATTTACGGACTTGAAAAATTTATATGATTACCTTTCTCAAAATTGGACCAAAAACAATCCCAATCTTAAATCCATAGTTCCAATTCCCCGTTTTAATCCTCTTTGACTCCTACAGGCAGCTTCCTTTTATCTATTCCATTTATTCACTCATCTCCTTGGTTTTGTAAATGATCTCTTACAGCTGGCAGTAAGTCATTTCATACAACAGTGAAAAAGAATATTTTCCATCAATATTTCCAGCAACTACACCCAGAGCTACTACAACGAGGTTTTACTCTTCTGAGACCTCCGATGAGGAAACTAAGCTGTGCTATGAAGGATGCACACTCATAAGGCTGATAGTAATGTCAGTAACTTTTACTGATATCTGCTCATAAAACACCAACGATGCCATCCATCACAGTTCAGCTGAGAGGAACTTGAATGTGTATTAAATTTCATGGTAGGTCATCAATTGGGTATTTAGTCTGGACCTAAATGGTTGCCCAGTCCAAAAGACAAGTGCTGCAGTGCATGGTTGGATTTTCTTGTGCACCTCAAACTCCAACTCTGCTGATACTTTACCTCGAAGAAGATGGCCATGGCAGCAACGATGCGTCTTTCCTTAATGGCAGCACTGAGGCTGTCAAAGTCATCCGGATTGTAAAGGTAGATCTGCATCTGGGGTGGGAAACAGAGCATAAACAGCTTAAGGAGTGGACAAGGAGAGTGAACAGTCCTGTCATCAATCACTTGGACACACTGCTGAGGAGCTGATGAAAAGCTGTTTTGAGGGGCATAAAAGAGGGTGTATTTATCACTCCTATAAATCTCCCATAATCTGTGTCATTCCTTTTTGTGTGCTGCCACTCCTGGAGGATGTTAGAGAAATACAGCATCCCATTCCTCAGGGTGACTGTCCTAACAGACAGTCACGAGCAGAGAGGAAAAACTGGAGGAACGTGATCCCCCCTTGTGCTGAGATCTAACAGAATGGCATTCTTCTGATCACTGCTTAAATTACCTTAAATCACCCACAAACACCGCTTCGGATTTCAAAACAAAGCTTTGGGCGTGTGGGTTATAACGGAAAACCAGCATACAGAGAATACACCATATATAGCATGTACCATGCCTTGGGTTTTCAATTAAAAAGAAAAAAAACCCCTCTTCTTTTCATATTTCAAAGCAGACATATAACCGTAATGCTGACCAGAATCAGCAAATGATTCTAAAAGTAGCAATTGGAGCTGTCTATCATCGCACATTCAAGCCTCTTTAAATTGAAAAACCCTTTCATGTCACTGAACCGAGTTAATTGGCAATAAGAAAAAGGTCCTAGATGTTGATTTAATTAAAGGGTATGCATGCCTTTTTTTCTTTTCAAAGGAAAATTACGAGAAGCCACAAACCCCACGTGGCTGTGCTGACAACAGATTCAAATAGTCAAAGTAAATAAGTGTATAAATCCATTAATGCTAACCATCAGCTTTAACCAGGTACAAAATTACCCAGATAATTTAAGTTAATCAGTTTCCTTCAGAGTTCCTTTAACTGCAGCCTTTAATGGAACTAATTTGTTGTCTGAGAACTCAGCAAGAAAGAGCACCGGCCATTCATCACCCTTCAGATGTTATTAACTACTTTACCCAATTAAGCTCACCCCCTTAGGCTTCATTTACTCAGAGAGACTGGCTCATGTGACCTGCTCTTGTTAACAGCACACTTTGGAAAACTGGATTCTTCATCGCAGTGAATACAGTAAAGGAATTTCAATTATTTGATTGCAGAATTACAACATTTTGTTTTTAGGTTTGTCAGGATCCCTGCTCTTTAGAGTGAGCTTTATCCACCCTTACAGATAGCGCTCAAAGTCGTTGATTTAAAAAGGAGCAGACGTGGGGTCTGACCAATCTTTAAGCTATGAGTAATGCATAGAGATATGCTGTCCACATACTCTGAGCCTCTATCTATAGCAACCCATTTTTTTCGCCACCAAGTGAGTGTGAACACAAGTGCTGAAAGCTGTTCTGCAATCCCGAGTTCCATTTAGGCGCACACAGGTGAAAAACAAAGTCATGTTTGGCGTGATTTCCCAAGACGGCAAAATATCGAGGCAAGACACAAAATCTACAAGAAATAAGTTTGTTGGCGGAGGGAGCTTAGATGTTATCACAGTATCACAAATGCATTTCTTCTTTCCTTTACAACAAGTGTGCTACCGCAGCATTTTGTCATTAACAGATAAATCTCTCCATTCTTGCACTCCAATCGCACATAATCATCTACGTTATCATTTTACTTGGGCACCTACAAAGTGCTAGAGATTTCATTTTCAAGACGAATAAAGTGTCAATAAAGTGTTAATTTGCACAGTAGGTGCTGCTGAACAACTCAATTAAACTTAGTATTTCACATTACAAATGACTGACAGAACTTTACAAAGTAAAAGACAAAACATGATGGAAATCTGTGAACTGTATCTAAAAGATGGAAGTGTCAACTATGACGCCGTTTCACATAACTTGTTACTGACAAATAGTCAGCGAGCCTGCACACCCCGTTTGACTCTAATAATGACCGGGACATACAAAATAAATTGAATTTTAGTCAATATGACCTGAAAATAGTGATTTAGACTATAAAGTCAACAGAAAAATGTTTACTGAGGTTATAAATCATAGAAACTAGGTGCAACTTTTCATAAGCATCTATAAAAATTAAGCACCTTGGCAACCAGCAGCTTCTCAGCCAGAGAAGCTAAGCTCATCCAGTCTATGTAACTAATGCTGTGTCTCAAATTGCGCATTTCCATGCTTAACACAGTGCTAATAGTGAGGGTAAGTGTATTCACACTAACAAATACAACTACATGAGGGACCTGTAGAGGTACCCAAATGAAATGATGCAACTCATAATGGCCATATAACTGTGTGTGCTTTTCCCCTTTAACTCACCCATCTCGGCTGTGAAGCAGAAGGGAAGGGATCAGCCAGGAGGGGGAGAAGCTGCTGTCAGCGACAATACTGAATCCAATGCTAAGCAAGCGGCTAACTTTTTTATCTCCATCCATTAAAGTAACATTTGTTGTGGTGTTGCTTGGTGTTTATGCGTGTTGAAGGGTAGTCTTCGTTGTAGAAAAATCTACTATTATACGAGTAGTCAGAAGACTGAACAAGATGCTCACGAAATGCAGCAGCCATGGAGCAAATGATTCGAGTCGGCACTACCCTGTCAGAATTTGTTTCGTAAGAACGCGTGTTGTGTAGTTAGTCTCTTGAGTTATTCAAAACAAGACAATATATGTGTCAGTAAGCACAGGCATCACTGATGTACATTTAAAATGACAGCATCCGAACTAATTGTTTGCTAGAGTAAGAGTGGAACAAATATATCTCCACTTCAATGTAAAAGACATACCAAGTACATACAGTACAATCTATACTATAGCTAGCTATCTAGCTCTCTATTTCTAAACTTTATTCACTTATAAATATACACACATCCATATTTCTTTTCACCAGTTTTGTTCTTGTAACATTATCTGGATTTGTTTGCAATTTTTGTAATTGGTTGTGTGCGTGTGTGTGTGTTTGTGTGTGTGTGTGTGTGTGTCCCCTCTTTTAAACATCTTTTGCTTATTTGAGTTATCTCAGTGGTGCAGTACTCTGAGATTTCAGGCTCAGCATACATCGGCTGGCCAATATTATCGACTGTTTCTGGCCTATTGAGGGGCTTTACTTGGCCCAGAAGATAATTCAGCAAAATATGCTCAAGGAAACGGTGCATCAGAGATTGTTAAGCAAAACACGCTCTGACTGCATTATTTCTGATCATCTCAGCACTGTCTGCAGCACAGAGTACCAGAGTAGGATCCATTTAGAGTCACTGTAAGTTTTTATTAATACACATATATTGCTGTAAAGCAATTAACCGTGATCCTTTTAGTATAACATCCAACCACTAAAAACAAATGTTTCTTTTCAGGAGTCAAAGGAGCTTGCAAAGAAAAGCTCCTTTGACTCCAAATTCCTGAAAAATTCTTTTCAGGAATTTGGCATCTTAATCAAAATCTAAATAAATAAATGTCCTTTACAATTTTTCTCTTGCTTTATTGAAAATGCACAGATAACAACTTTTATTTTAGGATTTATAATATTTTGTTTAAAGAGCTTATGCATACTGAGTGGATTAACCATTATAGAAATAGAAAGTAATTTTGGTAATTACCAATACTATTATATTTAATGCAGTTGTGGCGTAAACTTTATATTGGGTAGTGGCCTAATAAATCTGTTAAGGACTGTACATAAAAAAAAGGCTGATATGCCAATATCAGCCAATATACGGACCAGCCCCATCCTTAAATCTATTCCAGTGGTTATTAGGGAGCTGGGGATATCTAATGGAGTGGCCCTTCGCTCATTGGACACTCATCTTTACACAATTTCTCCCTTTCTTACTGTACACTCACCTTAACACTTTTCATACATCCCTAGTACTGTGTGCAAACGCATACCCTTCGAAGGTGTGATTTGTAATCCATGTATAATTAATCTAACCTTGGTGACACCCTCATATATTATTAGAAAAGATCTCCCTATGGTACCCTGAGGGAGAAAAAAAATTCCAGTTTCATTTTTCACTCCGCTGTTTGAGCGAACAGGTGGTCCATCTATCGATTTCCCCACTTCACTCCCACGAAAAAGACCGCGGTTAGATTAATGTCAAGCTCAGGAGCCCATTGTTTTGTTTCCCCCCTTTACTTTTTTAAAATAACCATGGTACAAAGCCAGACCTGCTCTATAATACAGCTCGTTGAATTTAAATTTTGTGTTTCGACCCTCTGGACACATGTGAA